ATCCCCTCCACTAACAGTTCTGCAAGATCGCCCCATCACATGGGTTTAAAAACATGACAGTCTGAAACTCGGGCTACAGAAGTCGCCCCAGGCCTCAGATCCTAACCATGGTCCCCAGCTGACACCAGAAGGCCTTCCTGTCCCGACCGTCTTATAGCCTTTCTCTGGGGGTCAAGGGAGAGAAGGCAGGTGAACTACAGCAGACTGCGTTCTCCGACAGCTTCCTGCTTGCCCCTACCCTCGGCTCCTCCCGGGCTCGGGCTCAAGGGCTCCAGGAACGAGCTGCAGGCAGGGCGCCTGTGGGGCAAGAGCTGTGGCAGAGGTGGCCCAGCCTCCGTCTCCCAGCCCCTGGGCCTGATCACTTCCGGGAGACCCCTGAGGTCGTACAAGACCTCCCATGTCCTAGGTGTGGTGTGCTGGCCAGGGGGCCCGGTCCTGGGGCAATGGGACGGTGGGGCCACCCGTGACCTTACTCCTGGGGCCCAGCGACAGCAGGTGCCACGTGGTCATCCCAGAAATGTAACCCCGTCTTCTTTTTGGTTTTGTTTCTTGCAGCTACCACTAGCATCCATTATGAGTTTGTGAAGAGCAGCACAGGAAACGACTGGAAGATGTTCATGAGGTTAATTGGTCTGGATGAGATGGACATTGACTCTTGCGAATGCGAGAATCCAGGCAATTTGATGGAACAGCGTCATAAGATGCTCTTTACGTGGCGAAAGAAGCTGGGAAAGGAAGCTTCTGTTTTTAAACTCCTGGCTGCCCTCCATAAACTGGGGCTTAAAATGTATTTGCAAAACATTATAAACAACTTAGTTGCCGAAGGTATTTTAGGTAGGCATGTAGGGACCTCCGACTAAAGTGAAGTTTTGGCATTGGATTATGCCTTCAAGCAGGACTTCAAATGGACTGGATGTGATCTTCTTGCCCAGGTCTATCCTATTAGGAATTGTTTGAGTCCCAGGTGAAGTTGTGTGCGTTCTCTGAATTGATTTCTACAGAACATTTCCATCAGGGAGGTCAGTTTTACGTGCCAGTCGAGAGTGTTTCCCTGCAAGGGACCGGGAGCTTCAGAGACTGCCGGTGGGGACGTCCTGCGGGGACTGGGGATTCCAGCAAGTTGTGGACTCTTGGCAGAAGGATCCACTTACTGTGTCGGGTTGATTCACATTCCTCAGCCCTCTTCTGGGTGCTGAAGCCAGGAGGGTTTGACTGTTTTTCTGCCATGGCCTGCACCGGGTCCAAGTCACTGCGATGTCCCCAGGACCTAGAACGGGGTGCCATTGTGACTGAGTGCTCTGTGAGTGTGAACAGCTCAGTGACCAGGAACCTGTACCCGGCAGCTGCATGAGACCATCTCAGGGCTTCAGCTGGAGGCCTAGACCCCGGCCTGCTTTTTTTTTTTTTTTTTTTT